CGTCCTGCCTCCTCTGCAAGCCCAGACCCATCATAGGGTGGGAAAAATCTGCTGAAAACAAATGCTAGTTACTCTTGAGGGGCAAAGATGTGCCAGAGCAGCCAGGACAGTGTATCCTGGTATGTGCAGGCTCCCGTGTTCAATCAGAGCGGCACATTATCCACCCAGAATTAACCTTCTGCTCCGCAACTCACAAGTTCCCAGGGCACCTGTGTTTGCTAACCACTGAGAGCAAGAATTTTTATTTAAATAAAATACCTGTGCACGTCACATGCAGCTACTCCAGTGGCAGTCAGGCAAATAGATACTCAAACTGCTGTGCTGCCAGAGCCCTTTGATATGAGAGTCTCATTATCAAGGTCTTTATCGGCCAAAGAGGTGAATTTCAACACCAAAATGGCCCTTTTTCAAGTAGCTGACATCGTACCCCTCCAGCCGCCAGATGGGTGAACAGCACTTTCACCAGCTGACATTTCAGAAGGCAGAAAGCATGCTCAAACCACATCATCTTCCATAAAATCTACAAGCCCTGAAAGCTTTGGCTGAAGAAGTTCATGCAAATCTCAGAGTTAGCCCTCAGAAAAGCCACTGAGGGCTGATTCTTCTGATGACCATCCAGTTAGTCACCATCTTCTCCATGGTAACACACCTGCCCCTCTTTGCAGAATAGCTGCTGCACTCCCTGCTTTCCCCTTTCTCCCACCATCTCCCCTCCAACTTATCTACATGGACATTTCTGTTGTCACTCTAAATTAGATACTAATTTCATCCCTCAGCATCTCATTATAGTTAGCTCTTAATTGACACTTAACACAGGAATCGTTTCGGAAGACCGTAACGATTCTTCCTTGAGGAATTATTTGAGTGTTGAAAGCTCACTGTGTGTCCCTATAAACATTTTGGGTAATGTGAATGATTTCAAGAGGCAAATTCAAAACCCTGCTGCTCACACAAGCTCTGCACACAAGATTTGTATGGTTTTTTTGAGCACTAGTAGCATTTCCAAGGAGCAAACCACAGAAGTCAGTGTGTTTTGCTACCAGCCTCCTTCCTTCTGGCAACCACCACATCTTTAGACTGAAAGTAGGAACATTTTATGGAGCACCTGTAAAATGAAAGGGGTGAATGTCATGGTAAAGTTGCATCACCACTGCTCTGCTGGAATTGGTGCCCTCAGCCAGGTGCAGGACATCACAAAGACTCTGCAATTCAAGGCAGACAGCCACTCAAGGAGCCAGGAGATAAGCAGACTGTTAGAAGAAACTCATCTTTAGGCATATACAAAGCTTCAGCCAAAATTTGCTTCGTTCCTGAACAAGTTAGTCTCCTGCAAGATTTGAAAACAGACAGCATGCCAAATTCTTATCAAGATCTCCTGCGTTCTAGCAGCAGAGGTTATAACTGAGTGCAGTCCATTTTATTTAGTCATCTACCTGTCCGGGTAGCAGTGAAGAGATAGAGCACTGATGCTTGCTTACCAGGTAATGCCTCATAACGGACTATCCCTCCTAAACCAGCCATCCTGCCAACAGGCAGTTTAATGTCTGCAGCGCTCTGGAAAACACCACACTGAAATATAAGGAGAGAAATGGGTTTATTGGTTTGTCGAAGTCTACTGCTGCTGCTCTCCTCTCCCCCCCACCCCCACCCCCTCTTTCTTTTTTTTTAATATTCAGGAGATGTCATTAGTTTTGGTAGGGTCTGAATGGCTGCTGAGCTCAAGTAGCTTCTGGTAAAACACTTACAGGCTCTGTGCAGAAATATGGTTTTGGAGAAGTGCCCACGATTCACAGTCCTTATGACTATCAAGTTTCTTCTTTTTGAAACACACTTAAACAAGCCTCCAAGGGTGTATGACAAAATGAGATGCTCAGAAGACACACTAATACCCCCATACAACCACCTTTTTGTCAGCAGCCCCTCCACTAGCAGACAGACCCGGAGCTGAGAACTGCAGGAAATACCAGCTCCAGGAGGACCCTGAACACCTCCCCACAGACTCAAGCCCGCACAACCTACTTAAAATGAAGTAAAAGCCTGTAATGTGCCTGTTAATTCACTGATGTTTGTATGCCTAAACGTGATCCTAGGAGGAGAACTTTGAAAAAGCAGTAAGAATGTATTCTTAAATGCATCGCACAGCACAGAGAAGTCTTTTGCAACAGAAATAGAGGAATGACTCATTTCCTCTGGAGCTGCTGCTCCAGCACTTCACTTGCACAGGCAGTGGAGCGGGTCCCTGTGCCATGCCAGCAGGAACTGGGAAACTCAAAAGCACTTTCCAGCATGTGTAAATCTAGCTGAATTTTGACCAGGACTTGTTTTTAAAACCAGTGATCCGAGATTGTCATCTGGGATAGCACAGGAGACAGATTCTCAAACTGTTTCCAAATGCTCCCTCCCTTGATGGGAGTATTGTATTTCAGCATTTTAATTTTGCACAGAATAAAACATTGGGAGAGAGAGCCAGGAGTTGCCTTCTCTCTTGCCCTCCCCTGAAGGGTGGCTAGTAAGCACACTGATTTGCCAGTGAATTAAGCTCTAAGTTTCTCTTCTCTCCTACTTGAAACTGGAAAGGATCAGACTGAAATAGCAGTGGAGAAGTGAGCTATGTTGTTGGATTTTGCTACTGTTCTTCCTCTGTTTCTACAGCTAGCAGGTTTCTATCAGTACAGTGGGACTCTTCAAAGCAACTCATCCACTTTCTCCATGTGGAGGCCATCATAAGGGTAATTTTTCTTCTTCAATTCAATAGCTAGTAACCTTCACAGCATAATCCATGTCACTCTTCTCTTCTCCATTCCTTACCTCCCCTCCTGTATTTTTTTCCCTGCCCAGATTATTGTATGGACTTTGTGGCAGTGATAGAAGCCAACAGAGGATCACAAGTATCACAAAAATACTAGCAAACCCTAATTACATCCAGTCGGGCCCAGAGGACTGAGCATTCTCTATGCAGCTTTGGTCCTGGTTTTAGGGAGGAGGGGGGAAATTCCCAGGGGTCTCAAGAAATGCAGCATGTAACTTGAGTGCACAGAAATTTTCTGAGTCTCTGAGTCAGCACTGCTATCCTTTAAGAGGGAAAAAATGAGGCTTCCTTAACACAGAAGACTGGTACACAATGACATTTGATGCATACGCGTTTGTAACAACCTTTAAGTTTGGCGTGTAAATTGTTATTTGAATCCTAACAGACTGTCGCACAGATACAGAACATACGTTATCTATAGCTCTGTTGGTGATTGAGTATTACAGTGTTTTGACTCTCTTATAAAGCAGTTGCAAATATGCCAATTCTTAGTTACATATTTAAAAAAGGACACTGCAGGCACACACAGGAAAGTACAGGTAGTCTCTTAATTAGGCATACCATATGTTTGAGAAGCCCATGATGGTAATAGAATGTACAGGCAGATCCATCTACAGTCAGCCCTCCATAGCCTGCTCGTTTTAGAGTTCGGGGCTACTCAGACCCCTTCAGCAAGCAGAGTGCTGTGCTCTGAAGCATCAGCAAGCACTGAAGGCGAATCCATGTGCTTAAAGGGATGCAGGTCCTTGCCCCTACATTGACCACCAGCTTCCCTGTGCTATCAGCCCAACAAAAGCAGGGCTGGCTGCTTTTCTGCCAGCTACTCAATTATCACCAGTCAGAATGTCACTTACCTCAGAGAAGACCCATCCAGCAGACATTTAAAGAGGTGACACAGGAAATAAACCAGCCTAGAAAGCAAATTTCTCATGTCTGTACTCTTTTGGAACCTTATGAAAATGGAACGCACAAGTCCCTTCCCCTCCAGGCAGCTTTAACTTGCATTAGCAATACTTAATCAGCAATTCACTACTGACCTTGGCTGCATTACAAGGGAGGTATTTGCACAGGGATGGAAAGATTTTAAACAATTTATCCAATGGGTTGGATGCAAACAGGCTTTTCTTTAAATACCAAGCATGAAGGTCCTTAGGCCAGTTAATTTTTTGTTAACAGATTTATCACAAAAGGAAACTTCTGTGTTTCTTTAATGATTTTCTGCTGAACAGAAACTCGGGCTTCAAACAGAAAAATATTTCAGAGCAAGGAATGAATGGCGACCAGAGGATAGTTACTGATTTTAAAGGAAGCCATTAATAAGAGATAATGTTATTAAAGAGGTAAAGATCTAAATACATTTCCTCCATGCTGACTTGGGTGACTGAGTGTTGACACTAAAGGAATGACATTCTTCCAGTCTTTGCCGGCGAGAAGCCTGTTAGCCAGCTGGGCTGTCTCAGCACGGTACCAACAACTGCTGCCCTGCCTACAGAAGCTACTCCCCACAAGGTAAGAGGCAGGCACACAAAGATCTGGAGATAGTTATTTTCAGCCTAGCTTTGATTTAATGATTAAAAAGCTAGGGGCCTTGCTGTTACTTCATTCTTTAATAGGGAACATCAGCACCAGCCGTGAGTGTGTAATTCTGGCATCTTACCAAAGACTAATAAAGGACAGGTAACTTGCTGGCCCATCCACAAAACTCCTGCTGGCTTCAGCAGGACTTTTTCCATATTTAATAAAGCATGACCTATGCGGTTTGGCACAAAGACGTGTCTGTACATGCCACATTGAAAAGTTCACACAGATACTGTGAAATTAAGTCCTAGCTTTTCATTAGCACCTAAAGAAGCATATTTTATACAGCGACCTGAATCTGGAGCCAGGGAAGCAAGAACCAAATCTTTCTTAACCTCTGAGCAAGGCAGCCACAAACTCCAATGTGCTTCATTCCAGAAGTCAATGCCACCACAGACAGTGCCAGCCATGCTCTGGTCTCTCTCCTGGCTCTCCTCCCGTATCCCTCTGCCCAAGTCCCAAGGCGTGGACCTCCTGCTTTCCCTTGGCTTTGCCTCCTTAGGAATCTCCTCCTCAAGAGCATATAAACCTGCCGATTGCAGTTTTGTGGCTGCAGGTAGCTTTTACTGAGAAAAGACAACAAGGAATTTAAATCTTGAGGCATAGATGCTTTCAAACAGCTGTTTATTACTACAGTGAAATATTAAAACAAAACCAACAACTTTTTATGGAAACAAAAGTGCAAATGTATTTAGATATTAAATAGGAAATGAATTTATAAACTTTTAATTAAAATGGGCTGACACTTTGAGCCTACAAACACTTTTCTTTTTTAAAAACAATAGCAGCTGAACACTTTAGTTTAATCTTTGGTCTGATTATTAACCAGCAAAAAATAGTTGTACCAAGAATGTCCATTACAAAGAGACACTTAAAATTTACATTACTCTGCAGAGATTCAAAATCAAAAGAGGAATGTTTTCGAGATATTTAGTCAGGTAAGAAATAATGATGTCTTTGAGAAATACATAGCATTTTTCAATACAAAACAAGGTCACATATACATGTTTTGGTACTGTAAATAAACTTATTCTCTTGCAGGTGTGACTCCTCTTCCCAATCAGTATTCAATAAAAACAACTTCATTTGCACAGAGTCTCTGCAAAACTAGGTTGCAGACAAAGAGAACCAAGAACCCACATTAGTACTAAATAACACTTTCTTCTGTGTTTGTGTTTCAGTTTACACACACAGAGGCAACCAGGATGAATCTATGATACATTATAAGAGTTACAACCTTAACAAATACCTATTCATAGCCCTGTTCTGTGTACAGCATCCAGGGGTTGGGAGAAGAGGGAAAAGGCAAAAGGCCCGTGGGATTACTCAGGCAGGTCAAGTTCTCTATACAGCTTCTTGCAGGTAAGGCCCTATAACTCCAGCACGCCCCAGGTAACAGTGCTGGTACATTTGTTGTGGAACAAGATGAATGCCATTACAGAACCCAACTTTTATCAGCTCCTTTTGTCAATCGTATTCATGAATGCACGCTTTATAGCGGATAAAGAAAATACACTCAATATCTCAGTTGTACAACAGAGCCACAAGTTAGTCTGAGATTTTCTCAGACCTCAATGCACATTGCCTTACTGGCAGGAAGCCCCCTCTTCTCAAGAAAGCTTGCCCAGGCCTCAGGTTAGAGCAAATGCATACATATTACCCCATCACCAGCCATCAAACACTCAAAATGCCTTGCTGAAGAAGTCACACTGAAGATCTACCTACATGACTAATCAACTGAGGGTTTGCCTCACTGTTCAGCCCTGATGGATTCAACCACTTTGAAAATATTGTCAGAGCAAAACCCACTTCAGTCTCTTACCTCTACACTCCAAATACACCTTGCTTTCAATAGCTCTCCTCCCAATTTTATCCCCATGTCCTGTGGTTTGTTTGCAGTGTGTCTTCACTGAGAGTTTACCATCATTCCCACTCAACTCTCAGCCCAACTTTCATTTTCTAAACTATTTATATTCTCCACCATCTCTCCTTGTCATGCATTTCCTGATGCAACTGTCCTCTCCTGGCATTACTGCATTTTAGTGAGAAAGCCCTTACCAAGTCTATTACAGATTTCCACGTATTGCAGCAATACTAAATACACACCACATGTGCATCCCCTTTCAGTGAAAAGATTGCTTTTCAGACACAGGGATGCAGGGATGTAAATGAACCGGCAGCTTACTGAAGTGGTTATGATGCCAGAATTAACAGCTAGAGGGTTTTTATGTCATGAGTTCAGGCAGCCACAATACCCTGGGCTGATCATCTAGTCCTTCTTTGGGCAAAAGATTTAACTGCCTTGATTGCAGAACTGCATCTTATTTCAAATACCAAGTAACACAAGACTGCAAAAATAGTATGTATCATGGTCTACTACCAAAAAAAAAAAAAAAATCAAAACACTAAGGTAGCTCATTTAGCCTTAAATACCATGTGCAAAGAACATTTGATCAGACTACCTATAAATACAATATTTGTATTTGTAGAAAGAAGCACAGTGCTTCATATGTAAAAATAACCCAACTTGCGGGTGTGACCTAGGCTACAATTACCTGAAAATAAGACTCCAAGAGCAGTTAAAAAAATAGACAGAAGTAGGCAAACATCTGCCTAGGGAGTGTTTCCATTTAGAAAAATAGATTTTTATAAAGCTTCATAGGTTTCGAAAATGTTTGTTTTGTGCTCTGATGCATAGAAATGTGAATAAAGCACACCGGTATCTCTATGTACATCAGGGAGAGGAGGAATATATTAGTAACTCCAAGTTATCCTAAAGCTTCCCAGAAGTTACACTTCATCAGTTATAATTAATTTTGGACAGCCCACTTAGAACACAGTACAGTGGGGTAATAAGGCACACGCTCACCTTCCTGAGCACCAGCAATTCAGCAACATATTTTGGGTCTTAATACATCAAATACTTGAGCAGTGACCCAATAAAGCAAAGATTTGAAATTCTGAATTTGCTGACAACCTGGGACATGTCAGGTTCCCACACACCAGGTACCTGCACTGGGAGCTAAGGACACCTGCAGCGCTGGCTGCATTACAACTCGCCAGGTTATTTGAGCAAAGTTATGGGATATAACCAGGCATGAAGTGGAAATTATCTGGATGACATTTACATTTAGAGGACACCAGAATCCATAGCCTAAGACTGCCACTGTACCATGAATCAGTGCTAAATAATTTTGAAGTACCCTGAAATATTTCACTTCCTCCTCCCCGCAATAAGATAAAGATCTGCTATAGCACAGCATGAGAAAATCCCATCAGGTTATTTGGTCAAAACACTGCCACGAACAGACAACTGGTTAGGCAGTCATCTAAAAATCCCACCAAACTCCTACCAGAGGGCAGGAAGGTGCAGCAGTCAGTTTACAGCACTGAGATTTGAACTGGCTTAAGGTTTGTTCCAAAAAATAATACAGAATTTGTTTTGTTGTTGGTCCTTGAGGTAAAGCAAGTTCTAAGAAAATAATACTTGAAGACAGAAAAAATTAATAAAACTCAACAAGAACCCACAAACAAATGAACCTCCATGTATTTACTTAAAAGGTTTTCTTTGGGATAATTCAAACGCAATTCCTTTAACAAAATACTAATGCCTCCTCCACAGCAATATTTAGTGCAGCCAATTATCCTAAAAAGAAGGCCTTTGTAAAAATAAAGTGCTATTTGTTTCCTTTTCTCTGTATTTCAATCCTTCAGTATAACCTTCATTTGAACATGGAAATGTGCAACTAGATTCTTCATACTGTTATGGGAGAGATTTTGCTTCTTCTCTCAATTTGACATTAACACACACACTATATTTCTATTCAGCATAATATGTTTGATTGCATGGGCAATTTAAAGTATGTCGTTGAGCATTTCAAACTCTGACCCACACTCATACTCCAGAGCTTATCACATTTTAAGAGCATCTTGGTACATTTTGGGGGGAAGGGTGGGGGTGTTGTTTGCATTTAGAGGATTTTTTAAATCCCAAATGAATTTTGTATCATAAAAAGCAGATTTCAGAGAAGGGTCAATTTTGCTGCTAAGACAACAAGTTAACATGGATTTCTAGAATGTCAGTCTGAGCCTGTTAAATTTGGGTTTGCAGCCAGCCAGCTGAACATAACACTTCTCGACTGAGGCGCTTCCCCAGAAATTTCACAATTTTCCTATGAACAATGAAGAAATCTCATGAACATGAGATTAAGAAACAAACAAACAAACAAAAAAAATCACAATTTCATTTCAGTCCTGGCCTCTGGTTTCCCAGTATTCTCGGGTCAGGGACAACAAATGCCACCGAACCACATTTAAACGGGTCCCACCTTCCTTGGGCAGACACAGGCTCCCGACGGCCCAGCGGGCTGGGAGCACGCGCTGCCCCGGCTCGCCCAGCCACTGGCTCACTCTCCCGGCGGCTCCCGCCTGGCTTCGGCAACATGCCGGCACAGGGCGGGCACTGGTCGCAAGTACCGGGGGCTGCTGTACATCCTGATGACGTGCGGGGCCTGGATCCAGGTGTTGATGAGCTGGAAGGCAGCCAGGTCCAGCGTGGGCCCGTCAAAGGCGGCCAGCAAGTTCACGGGGGTGGCTTCCTTGAGGAAGCGGGGTAGCGCCACGGCCTCGGGGAGGCTGGCATTGCTCAGGAAGAAATGCATCAGCACCTGCTTGCGCAGGCAGTCCCTGAGGTACAGCACCAGGTCCTCCAGCCGCTCCACCAGGAACCGCTCATCCCAGGCCTCCAAGGGCCCCTGCAGCAGCAGCGAGAAGAGGGCTGTCTTCAGCACATAGGAGGAGAGCACCCTACCCCACTGGGAGCAGAAAGGCTCCTCCAGGCCCTGCCCGCGGAGGTCCCGCAGGCCCTTGAGGATCTGCAGGCACTTGAGGTGGCAAGAGGAGGCCGGCACCTGCTCCTTCAGCCAGCTCAGCAGCCGCTGCTCCTGCCGCGACGTGTTGAGGCCCCAGAGGGCCTCTGGGGCCGGGGGGGCCCGCGGGCCCTCGGGTGGCAGGGCTGTGAGGTAGAGCGCGTCGCCGAGAGGGATGGCAGGGATGAGGCGCACGGCCATGGAGATGTGGCAGCAGACGTAGTCGGAGCAGGGCAGGATGTGCAGCGTGGGCGGGTGCCCGGGGCAGGCTGAGAGGCTGATGCGGCAGCGCTCCTGCAGCCGGTACCGCACGGCGCCCAGGCAGCGCTGCATGTGGCCCTGGAACCAGCGCAGCACTAGCCCCGAGGAGAGGTGGCTGCGGCCCTGCAGCTCCACACAGAAGCCCTCGGCGAAGGGCCGGTGACGGCGCGGCCAGCCGGCCCTGGCCCGCAGGCCGCAGACGAAGGCACCGCACGGCCCCAGCCCCTCGGCGCTGCGCGGCTGCGGCTCCAGGTGCGGCGGCAGCCGCAGGGGCACCAGGATGTCGAAGCAGTCGGGGCTGCGCACCTTGTGCTGCTCGTAGGCGCTGCCGATGCGCACGAAGTCCCCGCGCAGGCTGAGGGCCAGCGGGCCGGGCTGCAGCCCCTGCGCCTTGGCGGCGCGCACCAGCTCGGCCACGACGCGCCCGACGTGCGCCTTGCTGTGCCCCAGCACATGGGGCGAGAGCCGCAGCTGCCGCGCGTAGAAGCTCTCCAGGGCGCCTCGCCGCGCCCCCGCCGGCCCCGCCGCCCGCTCCCCGCCGGGCCTCGGGCCACCGCCCGCCGCGCCGCAGCAGCGGGCCAGCAGGCAGCCCAGCAGCAGGAGCGCCGAGCCCTTGAGGAGCGGGACGGAGCCCGCCTCCGCCGCGCCCTCTCCGGCCGCACCGCCCCGCAGGGCCTGGTAGAGGCAGAGCAGCGCGGTGCAGAGGGCGGTCAGCAGCGGCCAGAACACCCGCACGTTGAGGGTGTAGACGGGCACGGCGCGGCGGGGCCTCGGGCCACGGGGGTGGCCGCCGCCCGGCCCCGCGGGCGGGGAGCGCCCGCCCCCGCCGCCCCCGTCCTCCGCCCCGGCCGCCCCCAGCGCGGGCCGCGCCGCTGTCCCCCCCCCCGCCCGCTCCCGGCACGGCGGTAGCCGCGCACCCCCCTGCCTGCCGCCGCCGCTCCGCTGCGAGCCTTCCTTCCTCTTCCGAGGGAAGCGGCGCCGCGTCAGCCGCCCAGTGAGCTCAGAGGAAATGCCGCGGGCGGCGGGCCCGGCCGCGGCGTGAGGGCCGGGGGCGTTGTCCGGCCGGGCCGGGGCCGCCCGCGGGGCGGGGAGCGGCGGCGCCGCCCGCTCCTTCCCGCCGCGCTGAGGGAGCGCGGCCGCGGGAGGAGCGCGAGGACGGCCGGGCGGCGCCTTCCCCGCCGCTCCCGGTGCTGGCCCCGAAAGCGAAGCGTGAGCCGCACTCTGAGCACCAAACACACGTTCCCCTGACCCCCTCACCGCAACGGGACACTGCAGGGCGGGTATTTGGGTGTAAAACTGAGTGTTTCTGTATCCTCACGTCAGGGGGACAGCTGTGACGTCGGGGAGTGCTGCTGCCCGGGCAATGGTGCCATGTCACAGGCTCCACGTCACACATTCTTCCTCAAATAACAGTGCTAAGGGTCTGTCCTGCTGCAGATGAGTCTCTCGCCTTCACAGCTCTGAATAAGGGTCTCAGTGCCAAAGGGACAGCATAGTCATCACCATTAATTCACCAGCATGCGTGTGGTCCGCTGCTGTACTAAGAGCTGCTTGCAGTCAAATCATTCAAGAGCCTGTTGGTTTTTTCCCATGTTCCCAAATTGTTCAGATGCTGACAAACTAAAAGGAAAGAAAGAACCTTGGGAGAAGTTACTCATGTGTCACACAGGGACTTCTGGCCTTACCTGTTATATGAGAGCCAGTATGATATCAGGCCCACTGTTGTCAACTGTGACTGTCGCGACACTTCTGCCCACAGCATCACCCTCAGCCTGAACCAAATGGAAGAACTGAGGATCCATCAGAATTACACACCCAGCACTACCTCAGGCGTCACCCCAAGCCCATGAACAGCAGAGCCAAACATTCAGGTCAGAAGACAAGCACAAAAACATCGCTGCACATGCAAAGCCTCCAGGCACTGCTGGGGAGTTGAGCAGTCACATCAAACCCCATAGAAACCACTGGGACTTGTCTGTCACGAAGACCTCTTCACCCAAACTACTTAACCCAAACTGCTTCAGGGTGTTTCAGACCTGAAGAGGCCTTTAGGACCTGCATTTTCTCATATGTGTCTACTGCATGTTGGACACAACCTCGCTGCAGCTACGCTGTATTTCTGGATGTGTCTCTGTGTATCAACTAGCTTTAGCTTGAAGAGCCCTCTACCATGGTGATGATGATTAAACTTAAGAAATTAGCATTATAAACTCCTGCCGCTGCAAGCCTTTGAAGATTCCAATTACCTGAAAATGAAAAGGCAGCATTTCAAATTTAGAGAAGAGGAAAACCGTGCTGCATAGTACCACATAGATCCAGTCATCAAGGTGGTCTGACATTTTTCCTGTTCAGGGCAAGACTTCTTTATATAGCATTTGACCATCACTGTGTTTCTTGACCACAGGGCTGGATTGTGCATTGCTCTTGTTTTCTTTCTAGCATTCATCCCCCCTGCGTTCTGCACAGGTGCTTAAGATAATTTTTAAACAGGTATTTTGCTGGATGTATGTTAGTTCTGTTGCAGATGTTGATGGGGACAGGATCATCCTCTTCAACTTCTGTTTAATAAATGTTTACTGAGTTTTGAAGACTTTTGCTGAAGTTTAAGGGGCATCCATGAAAGCATTCTGTTGTGGTTTAATTTCAGGTGATCAAGTTACTACTGCGTTATTGCAACTTGCTGCATGGGTGGCCCCATGAAGGTGAAGGAGCAGTGCTGGAATACAAGAAACTGAACCCTGCAAGCTGAAAATGCTGTAACAAGGAATGGGTCGGAGAACCAAGTGCAAGAGAAAGGCTGTACAAATGTTTGGTTATGTAATTTGTCTTTATATGAAACAAACATAACTTCAAGTACGTAAAAAACATATTTCACAGAAATAAGCCTATATTTTATAGCTCAGATGCTGCACTCAAAGTCAAACTACGTAACCAAGGTCGAGCAGCCTGAATAAATTCACAGGCAACAAAACCAGGGTGAGTCAAGAGTACACTTGAAAGCTACGAAGAGATGTCCTAACCACGCCAACACTGACCCTTGGAGTTATCATCAGAAGTGTTGGAGGGGTTTTTTAAATTAAAAATAAAGCAGGTGTAAAGGTAAGAAACCACAGGCAATTTTATAACATCTCAACCAGCACAATATTCCGTGCCCCAGGACCAAGAACATATTTCTGACAGCTGTAGATCAGCTGAAGCCACAACCTTGCTACTCAGAAATGTCATTCCACAACAGCCATATCTTTGAAAACAACCAAGTGAAAAGCATCTTTCTTCCCCACTCCTTGTTTCATGTTTTCCTGTATTTCTTCACAAAGCTGGAAAAGAGGACAAAAACATTCATCATGTTGCTTATGATGCTCTCTTTTCATGCAAGGTTGATTCGATTAGCTGCATGTCCGCGCTCAGGAGACAGCCAGCCACATCTGCAGGAGCTGGCACGGCCCTTCGTGCCTGTCAGGCAGCTGCTGCCCAAGAGGTGACCTGGAGCTTAGCAGCACGGCAGTTATCCCTGTGGGACCTGTGGACAGGGGACAGGCTGCAGCCTCCCAGCCAGCTGTGGGCCCCACAGGCTGGAGAACATGCAGATGTCACCCCAGGCAGTGGGACAAGCCCAGGGGCCAGCTGGCAGAAAGCGTGCGACCGGCCACGCCAGACCCACCAATGCAAACACCAGCTCAGCACGTGCTTGTATACACGCCAGACAGCGCTGGTACAGGCTCAATCAAGCTGCAGAATAACAGGTTGTATGCTAATAACCATGACCTCAAAATCATGACCAGAGTGAATCCACAACATTGATTTTTACTACCGCTGTTTAAATTACCAGCTAGTCCTTTCTCACTTCCTCAGTCAGTGGCAAGATGAGAGCTGTAGAGCCTGGGCTGATAAAAGATGGCCAATAGCCTATTTTCCAGGACCTTGGCTGCTTCGTGACTCCCTGAGCACAGGCTGGCTCTCTGGGAAAAATGCTAAATACACCCAAGGTGAGAGACTTCACAGCAGTCTTCAGCTTTACTATCCAGACCTTACTTGGAAAGGGTCAACTGAAGAGCCACTCCGTCTATCTGCTCGCACGAGCTAAGGGCATTTGATGGCTGCTGTACCAGAATTGAAGTGGTCATAAACACAAAACTGCTTTCAGTTACCAAATAGCAACAAGCATCATTCCTCATTACCCATCATTCCAGTTCTTCTGGAACGGGATGTTGCAGGGGCTGTATTTACTTTCCAATGGGTACAGTTCATCCACATTATCACAGCTTATCCGTAGTTCACATTTTACAACCCATCACAGAAGAAACAAACCACATTATCTTGTTCAGAGTACTTTGCTCCTCTTGTCCCTTAGCAAGAATATGTTGAATCGGAGAACAAGTTGCAGTGATGCACCTCACCTTTCCTGCATGGTCTTCCACCACTTCCCAGGAGCTGGACCACATGCAATAATGCTTACTTCTGTGGTGGCTATCAGATTTGTTTTCCTCTTTCTGTGTCTCTCAAAGAAGTAGCAGTTCATTTGTTTGGATTGAAATATCTATAAACTCCACTGCTAATTTTAATACTGATGTTCCTTGGTTTTCACTTAAGCAGTGGTCTTGTTCCTGTTTAAAACAACAAAAAAAAAAGTTTATGAGGTTTTTAATAGCAATTGCATACTCCAGACAAATAATAGATTGTACACTAATAACCATGACCTCAAAATCAGGACCAGAGAGAATTCACAACATCAATTTTTACTACAGTTGTTTAAATCACCCATTGTTTAAATAGATGTTATCTAAACACTTGCTTCAGAATGCTCCATAACCAGGATATCCTGTTCACTAAATAAGGAATAATGTTATACTTATTCACATATAAGTCTGAGCTAAAAATAGGTATCCCAGTATATATGATCTGCATGATTTCTCCGGAGGAGATTTGCAGAGGTAAAAGGAAGTCTTGGGTATATATCACCCATTAAAGTTTCTCCACAGTTAACAGTATTTCATACAACTGTGTAACTGATCTGTTAATGCTACAGCATGTCAGACACTGTCTGAGATGTAGGACAAGCACTCTGCACCAGCAATTTCACCATCCAAATAGGTAGAAGAAAGTGGCAGAAAGACGGAAGGCACAGACAAGGGATGGCATTTGTGTGGTGCTTTCACAATGTACCTGACACACAAGCCTCAGACTTCTTACCAGCTATCCCAGGCTGGTATCTGCCCTGGTGAACCAAAGCTGCACATCGTCTATTGCAGGTACAGGAGGAAATATATGGGATCCCTTCCTGCACCTCTGCTCTTCTACAGCGAGTGGATTGCACCTCCAGCTTATCATAATGCACTATTAGACAGACTATAGCAGAAAAGTACAATAATCAATTGCAAAATAATACAAGTCTGAAAGATTGGTCACCTGCCTTCATACCCCAATCATTACTTTTCTAAGTATTTCCTCTGAAATAAAGCTGCTAGCACATCTCCTCCCCCAGCCCACTAGGTGGTCCTGTGAGGGAGATTCCATGATCAAAATAAACACCCTTCACTTGCCATTCCTCTGACCCCCAGGTTTTACAGGATACTATTCATTACAGCACCAGCCAACACGACTGGGCAGACATGAGTCCATTTGGTACTGTGGACTAGTGAACCTCTGCCAGTCACAGCAGCAGTGTGACTGAGTCCCCATTTCAGGACGGGAGAAATGGAGAGGGTGTCTTGCTACCACAAACAGCTGAGGAGACTCAGCAACCCAGGACTGAGGAGAGCCAGACCTCCAGAGCACATGCAAGGACATGGAGGAGTGTA